CGGCAGCACAGGGGATCCCACCCACCCGAGTAGCGCTGCTGCCACCGGGACCCAGCTCCCTGCAGCGTCAGAGCTAAAGAGACTTCTTAGGAAAAACGGTTTCGTTTATTTTTACTTACAACAGCAACACTGGCAGCTACAGGGAACAGATTAGTAGCTTTAAACATTTTTTCTTGTCGCTAACTTTAACTAGAAATTCGCTTTAGAAGCTGACCAAACTTGTTAGCACGGCAGAAGGAACATTTCACCAACAGAGTCAGAACTTGGTAAGATACTTCTATACATACAGTATTTACTCTCCTTTTTGAAGGCTTTAAGACTCCCAAGCTCATCCAAGAAGGCCTGGCCAGCCTTCCTCAGGGTCTCTGAACTTCTTTTGCTCAAAAACCACCCAAAATACATGGGTAGGAATTCCTTCTCCAAGCTCGGCTTCATCTTCTTCAGCTCTTCCACTGACAGTTTCCACTGGTTCTTTTCCTTCAGCTGCAAGCAATCCATTCGCCACGGGGTTTTGGGCTCGGCAAAGATGACTTTGTACCGGTATTTGTCAGCAATATCAAAGAGTTGGTCCAGTCGTTCCCTCTCGTGGTGAGTGTCGTCCAAAACGATAACGCTGATGTCTCGTTTGCAATAGTCAACTAGATCCTCATCCACCTTTGAATACTCTTCAGGAACGGTGCTTCTTATTAAAGGTGTAATTTTGTAGCTATCAACGGAGACGACCTTGCAGGCATCTTTGTACCGGTCTTGAATAGCCTGGGCAAGAGTGGACTTCCCGCTGCCAGGCAGGCCTCTTAGGATAAAAAAGGTTTTAGATTCCTTGACCGTGGAGATGGTATCTTCGTCGTCAAGGAAAGGGAACTGCAAGCTTTCGGGTCTTTCTTTCGCTGATTGAGTAGACATTTTTCTAAATATTTTAGGCAGGAACGTGTGACTCTTCTTTGAGAAGCCTCTGTTCTGAAATACAAGAAGAAAATATTTCGCAGGGCAGCCACCCCAGGAGACCGCGTGTCCCCCGGCACCAGCTCGCGTAGGCGCACGGGGGGAGGCGAGCGCAGGGCACATCTTCCCCTTCCCCCCCC